TCTCTCTCTCTCTCTCTCTCTCTCTCTCTCTCTCTCTCTCTCTCTCTCTCTCTCTCTCTCTCTCTCTCTCGCTCTTTCTCTCTCTCTCTCGCTCTCTCTCGCTCTTTCTCGCTCTCTCTCTCTCTCTCTCGCTCTCTCGCTCTCTCGCTCTCTCGCTCTTTCTCTCTCTCTCTCTCTCTCTCTCTCTCTCTCTCTCTCTCTCTCTCTCTCTCTCTCTCTCTCTCTCTCTCTCTCTCTTTCTCTCTCTCTCTCTCTCTCTCTCTCTCTCTCTCTCTCTCTCTCTCTCTCTCTCTCTCTCTTGGCCTCCCACCAAGTCTTCAAGCGCAGAAAGTTTTCTTTTACTATCCTTGTCACCCATCTATTATCTGTCAGATCTCCTCTCCCTTCATATTATTTTATTCAAACAACTACACAATTTCTGCTCATGTCCTACACAGTTTAAGCGGGACCAAAGAGCCAGAGCTCAACCCCCCGCAAGCACGACTCAGTGAGTACTCACAAACTGCCTTTAAGAAACTTGTGAAAGTAATCATTAAGAACCTTGTATACCACATTGTAAGACCAATTCTGGAGGATGCGGCCCCAGCATGGAGGCCATACCTTTTACCTGGAGGCCATAAGTTTAAGACGAAGCTGGAGAATGTTCAAAGGACTAGTCTCATTAGACTAGTCCCAGAACTAAGAGGTATAAGTTACGAGGAAAGGCTGCGTGTATTGCACCTCACCTTCGCTGGAAGACAGAAGAGCTCTGGGAGACATGATCACGACATACAAAATTCTCAGGGGATAAAGACAGGTTATTTAACACGGGTGGTACACGCACAAGGGGACACAGGTGGAAGCTGAGTACCCAAAAGAGCCACAGAGACATTAGAAAGAACTTTTTCAGTGTCAGCGTAGTTAGTAAATGGGATGCATTAGGAAGTGATGTGGTGGAGACTGACTCCATACACAGTTTTAAATGTAGATATGATTGAATCTGATTGACGGTAGAGAGGCGGGACCAAAGAGCCGAAGCTCAACCCCCACAAACAAAACTAGATGAGTACACACACACACACACACACACACACACACACACACACACACACACACACACACACACACACACACACACACACACACACAAGGGAGCCGGCGGCTGAGCGAACAGCACGCTGGACACGTGATCTTGTGGTCCCGGGATCGATCCCGGGCGCAGGCGAGGAACCATGGACAGAGTTTCTTTCACCCTATGCCTTTGTTACCTAGCAGTAAATAGGTACCTGGGAGTTAGTCAGCTGTCACGGGCTGCTTTGTGGTGTGTGTGTGTGTGTGGTGTCGAAAAAAATAGAGTTGAGAGGCGGGACCAAAGAGCCAGAGCTCAACCCCCGCAAGCACAACTAGGTGAGTACACACACACACACACACACACACACACACACACACACACACACACACACACACACACACACACACACACACACACACACACACATAGGGGCCTCGTAGCCTGGTGGATAGCGCGCAGGATTCGTAATTCTGTGGCGCGGGTTCGATTCCCGCACGAGGCAGAAACAAATGGGCAAAGTTTCTTTCACCCTGAATGCCCCTGTTACCTAGCAGTAAATAGGTACCTGGGAGTTAGTCAGCTGTCACGGGCTGCTTCCTGGGGTGTGTGTGTGTGGTGTGTGAAAAAAAAAAAAAAAAAAAAGTTAGTAAACAGTTGATTGACAGTTGAGAGGCGAGCCGAAAGAGCAAAGCTCAACCCCCGTAAAAACACAACTAGTAAACACACACACACACACACACACACACACACACACACACACACACACACACACACACACACACACACACACACACACACACACACACCAACGTCGTCCATGTACTCTACAAACACCATCCGGTCGATGCCGGACCAGCCGCTGTGTACCGCCAGGGGAGGAGGTTCCCGGCCACTGTTTGTTTATACATGAAGGTGAATCATACGCCGATGAATGCTCTGCACTCATGTGCAAGGGGGGGGTGGTGGAGCTGGTTGTATAGGGGGTGTAGGGGTGGTGTAGGGGGGTGTTGAATGGTGTGTGTCTATACTCACCTAGTTGTGTAGGTTGTGGGGATGGAGGGGGGGGGGGTGAGGTTTTAGCTAACGGAGAGGTTGTTAGTGTGGCATGCTGGGTTTCAGTGGAATCCCAGGTTGCATTGCTTTTGATCTAGTCCAGGTCCATGTAGGTACCCAATGGTACAGGTAGGTACCCAGCAGTCCATATAGGTACCTAACGGTAAAGATAGGTACCCAACGGTACAGGTAGGTGGTACCCAGCAGTCCATATAGGTATCCAACGGTAAAGATAGGTACCCAACAGTTCATGTAGGTACCCAACGGTCCAGGTAACGGGGGGGGGGGGGGGGGAGGGTAATTATGGATTGTCAAGGAGAGGTGGAGAGGTTTTTGGGTACCCTTTTGACATCCCTTTTCACCCTCTCAACACCCCCCTCCTCCACCTACCCCTCTTCCTTGTCAGGAATGAATAATGAATACACAATTACCAGGTACATGAAGGGCGTCGACATCAACCTGGTACATCATCATTATGGCGTCAACTTGGCGCGAGCGTGAGCGACCGCCACTGCAACTTGCAGCGAAAGTCCCATATACTTACTCGCGGGAGTGTCATAATTGATGCATATGTGTGTGGTGGCGGGTCCCAGCCGGCCAGTCAGAGGGCCAGTCGCTGGAGCAGCGAGACGTATGCCTCGCTGATTGGCTGGACGCCTGTGTTGTGGTCGCGGGAAGCTTGCTGATTGGTGGGGGGCTTGGCGGGAGATTATGGGGTGGTGATTGGGGGGTTGCATATATAAGGGGTCTGGCAAGGGGAAATTGGGGCAAGGGGGGGGGAAGGTTATGATAAGGACTACTTGTGGTGGCACTAAGGTGGCAGTAGTTCACCTGTGGCTTCACACACACGAACACACACCTGGCTCTCTGGTCAGGAGCTCCCCATTCTGACAGGGGGGGGCAGATGGGACTCTTAGTGTATTAAAATTAATATCGTGTAGTGTTAGAAAATCTTACACACATATTTTTCTCTCCTAAAAATACGATATGTAAGTACCAGTTTACGTATACAATTAATTAAAAATGCAAAATAAACTTCTTGATCGACATATATCAATTTTTTGTTGAGTAAAAATAATTATTATTATATATATATATATATATATATATATATATATATATATATATATATATATATATATATATATATATATATATATATATATATATAGATTATTATTTTGTCAGGTATGTGTCTTAGTGCTGTATCTTAACATTGTCTGAATAATGTGTCCCAGAGTTGTCTTAGTAATGTGTCCTAGTGTTGTCTTAGTAATGTGTCCTAGTGTTGTCTTAGTAATGTGTCCTAGTGTTGTCTTAGTAATGTGTCCTAGTGTTGTCTTAGTAATGTGTCCTAGTGTTGTCTTAGTAATGTGTCCTAGTGTTGTCTTAGTAATGTGTCCTAGTGTTGTCTTAGTAATGTGTCCTAGTGTTGTCTTAGTAATGTGTCCTAGTGTTGTCTTAGTAATGTGTCCTAGTGTTGTCTTAGTAATGTGTCCTAGTGTTGTCTTAGTAATGTGTCCTGGTGTTGTCTTAGTAATGTGTCCTAGTGATTTTCCCTAACAATGTGTCCTAGTGATATGTCATGACAATGTATCCTAGTTCTGTGTCCTGGTCATGTATCCTAGTGCTGTGTCCTGGTCGTGCTTAGCTAGTATTCCACGCGGTTACCTTGGGGGGGTCTGTGCCGAGAATGAGCGCAATCTTTAGCCTTCTTAGGACATTTAAATCCATCAACAAACTACAGGCAGGGGTTACAAACACGCCCCTTAGGCCTACTGCACTATCAGCCTAGGTCTGGCCTGGAAATGCCCCCCTCCCCCCCCCCCCCCACACACACACACACGCATTCCTTTCCAAAATTTGAAATTGTGCCTATTATGTTTTTTAAGTTTTATGGAGGCTTCTCTCTTCGTCCAAAAACAAAAGACATTCTACACATCTTGTCTATACTACTTGGGCTGGATGGTAGAGCGACGGTCTCGATTTATGCAGGTCGGTGTTCAATCCCCGACCGTTCAAGTGGTTGGGCACCATTCCTCTCCCCATGTCCTTTCCCTGATCCTTATCCTCATATCCCTTCCAAGTGCTATATAGTCGTAATAGCTTAGCGCTTTCTCCTGGTAATTACCTAACCTAACCCTGTTACCTAGCAGTAAATAGGTACCTGGGAGTTAGTCAGCTGTCACGGGCTGCTTCCTGGGGGTGGAGGCCTGGTCGAGGACCGGGCCGCGGGGACACTAAAGCCCCGAAATCATCTCAAGATAACCTCAAGATAACCTTTTCCAGATTTCCCTGTCCCGTCATAACTGATTTCCACAATGTTTTCCTGGTCTTCATAAATGTTCCAACCTGTTCTTAACAAGAAAAAAGAGGCTTCCAAGACACTCAAGTTCAAGTATGTTTATTGAGACAAGAAAGAAATACATCTCAAAGGGATAGAGTAGCTTAGGCTATTTCTTAAACTGATCCTTCAATACTCTCATACTTTCCCCGTTGTAATGATGTGTCTAACAACTGTACCTTGGAAATATGTCCTGTTCACTGTTCTTGGTCATGTGTTATGGCACTCTGTTCTGGTAATCGGCTCCTGGCGCTATGTTCAATTACTGTAACACAGCCAAAGTTGCGGGCATTATGGATAATGTTTTATTTTATATAATTCATGATATATACATCATTACCCTTCCTCACATCACACACACACACACACACACACACGCACACGCACACACACACACACACACACACACACACACACACACACACACACACACACACACACACGCACGCACACATTAGGTAAGAGCAAAGAAGAAGTTGTAAACATTTTGTAAATATCTCTGATTTACCTTATAGTAGTACATGTTCTGACTCTTGCTTCCTATGCTTACAGGGAGACCCTCACCAAGACGAAGCTCCATGAATCAGCCATTCACTTGCGGTTTCCAAGGGGCTCCTGGTCCTTGGGAATTTAGAGGGAATCAGCTACAGCCGCCTCAAGACTTCAGCCAACACCAGTACCAGCAGCAAAATCAACTGTTCTTTAACCAACCCTGCAACCAGAACACTTACACCAATAACTTCCAACAGTTGAGAAACGATATCCCTTCACCTTGTCCAAACCAGATCTGGAATACTTTTGAACCTTTCAACCAGAATGGTTTCCAGAATTATGAGCATAAGAACGTACAGCAGCAGCAGCAGCAACAACAGCAACATCTGCACAATCAAAACCAGTTTCCAGCTTGGCCCTTTCAACACAGTGATGTGAGGAACAATGCACAATATGGACACCCAATGTACACACAAGGACGCTTCGACCACGGAGAAAAATGGAGCTCTCAGGATGCCACCTCTTCACAACATCCTCCAACTTGGAATTTGCCACACACTCCAGCATGGCAAAAGCCACAGCCTCCAGCCTGGAAAAAGCCACATCCACCAGTCACGAAGCAGCTGTTTCCTCCAGCTTGGAAGCCATTCTCACGCACGTCGTCCCTCGTCTCCATAAACAACAAGGAGGACAGAGCCATCATGCCAAAAGAGGACAGTAATAATAAACATTCCAGCAAAAGTGAAGCTTCGGAGAGACCAGTGAACGTAAGCAAAGGTGACAACAAGAGTGGCGAAACATTAACAGTGTTAACAAATGATAGAACAGATGCGAGAAACGAGTTATCAAATGAATCTGTATCTCCTAACAACTGTAATATTCTTAAAAAATCCTCTAAAAGCAGTGACGATGTTACGACGGAATTTCACACAGCTATAAAGGACTCCCAAGAGGTATCAAGTGACTCCCAAAAGCTATCAATTGACTCCCAAGAGGTATCAAGTGACTCCCAAAAGCTATCAATTGACTCCCAAGACTTATCAAGTGACTCCCTACAATTGAAAGAAATTAGTAAAAGTTCTGGTAGGAAAAGTGAGGTTTTGAAAAGACCAAAAGAGGTGTTTGAAGATAAACTCCATATAGACGGTACTATCACAAACCCGACTAGGGAACCAGAAAACTTGATTAAAACCAACAGACTAGTTTTGCACGACTCAAAAGATTCGTTAGAGAACAGAAGTGAAGTTTTAGAAGAGTCTTATAATACAAATGATATTTCGAAAGAATTAAATGTGTTGAAGGACCTGCCTCACAGAAACGAAAACGATGTTGTGAAAGAATCACATGAAGTGTCAAAATATTGTATAGGTAATCCGAGTGATAGTTTAAATAAACCAGATAAAATATCAAAGCATTTACTCGACATTTGCCCAGTTTTGAAAGAACCATCAAAGTTTGCGTCACTAGAATCGGAAAACAAAACTTGCATCTTGAAGGAGTCTGATGTGTCAAAAGAGTCAGGTGAAAGCAGTATCAAATTTTTAAATGAAGGAAATGAAGCAGTAAAAGCTTCTCATAAAAATAAAGCTTTGAAAGTGCGAGATAAAACCTTCAAAGAGTTACTTGAAAATCAAAACGAAATTTTGAAAGAATCATCTAAAACGTCAACAACTGTGCAGGAGACTGATCATTTTGTCAAAGAAGCAACTATGAGTCACATTGAAAAGTTTCAATATTCGAGTAACACGAAAACATCTATAAGAACCAATTTATCCAGAGAAAGTGACGCCACTAACAAAAAAACACATGAAAACTGCATTGATAAATTTAGACACTCTTCAAAAAACAAAAATGGGCTTTCAAAAAGTTCTGCCAAACATAAATATGAGGTATTTATGCATGAAAAAAAGAAAAGTGACATAAAAAACACCGAGAGAAAAAGAAAGGACATGAATGATTTAAGGAGACTCAAAAGGAAGGCTTCTGATGAGTCTGGTAAATACAACCACAAGAGGGTCAAACAATTTAAGAATAAGGCGAATTTGGTAGCCTGCAGGAGTGACATAGACACGAGCTCAGCTGTCGACCACAGAGACGCAGCGAGACAACCCTCTCCGAATTCAAGTACGGTGTTGAAGTCTACAGTTAAAAGTGATGATAGAATACTGGAAGAAACACACGAAAACAATAGTGAACTACATAAATACTCGTCGAAGAAAAGGAATGAAGCAACCGGCAGTGCTTCCAGCACCACAGGCAATAATACACCCAAGAAGAATGCCCAAACTAGCAGCCGGGAATTGAAATTAGACTTGACAAGATCCCCCAAATCTGAAAATACTGAAATAGTGACTCAAAGCCTGACGAGTAAATTTCGAGAACAGCCTTTGATGACCACAGACATATTTGCCAGACATTCTTCTCCCTGCTCATCTAAGGAAATCATTTGTTACACCTGCAAAAATGTAGTGAAGGAATATCAGCTCTCCTCACATCTCTTCTTTGGCTCTGTGAAGTGTCGTGATTGTTGTAGGGAGATCACATCCTGTAGGAGTTTCAGAGAAATGAGAAGGGCAACAGACGCTAAGAAAGGCTCAACTTGCCTCCACAGATCTTTAAAGTGGTTGAATAACCCATTTTCCTACATAAAGAACAAGCTGCAAAAAAAACTACGGAAGATAAAGTTGAAGGGCAAGCTAACAGAAGAAGACCTTCTCATTGGGGTGTCTGCATTTGCCAGGAGATTGAGAGCCCTTGAACACAAGTCGCCTTGGAGGTCAGCCATCGAAAAACTGAGAAGGTCTTTAGAATCAGGTATTCCACGTGAATATTTAACGAAGGTTGAAAAGAACTGTAATTTAGCCTCATGTGATTCAGCTCGAATAGAAACAAAACCAGAGGGATACGACACTTATTTCAGTGATAAAAGGAATGCCAGTTGTAAGTCCTATGGTGAAGAACGTGAAAATGACCAGATCCAAAAAGAAAATCCAAAGCATACAATGTCAATGCCACCATCACCGTCAGTGTTGCTGGATAATGCCCTAGAGGACATGAATAATTTATCTTCAGTTGAAAAGCAAAAGGCTTCTGAACCTTCACTGGTTGACAGTGAGCGAATACCTCAGATAGTTGAAGAGGAAGTTATTATACCTCAGACAATGTGGGAGGACGATATAATTAGTTTTGGTGGGGTCGAGCAGGTGGATGAAAATATTATCTCGGTGTGTGCATGTGAGGACAGTAGTAAGCTGCGGGGAGTGGTCAAAGATGGTACAGTAGTGCTACAAGCTCCAGGACACGCCTCGTTGATTGTGAATGCGGATGAGCTACGAAGTGCAAAAGCAAAACTTGAGGAGCAGGCAGTGAGTGGTGAGCAGAATATTTCAGAGGAATATGAGTTCGCTTATGGATCATTGAATGAGTTCATTCCCAAAGGAGTGAGTAAAATGACACTCATTACTCAGCAATCACTGACTCTACCTGAGGAAACAGGCAAAGTAACGTTTTCAACTGAGGAAGTAAGAATGTCAAAAATGGTTCAGGAGATTAAGAAGGCACCAGAGTTTGGAGAAACACACTTCCAGTCAGACATGAGCAAAGCAGAAATCATCCCTAAAAAAGTTGAGGCTAAACCAGTAAAAAGCATAGCTGAACAGAAGTTTGATGAAATACACAACATGAAATTGGACATTACCCAAGCTGAACAGGAGGAAATTAGAGAAAAAACTTTAATAACTAAGAAACCTGCTAGTAGGAATTCCAATCATGCTAAGAAGTCTTGTAAGATGAATGTTCAGGATGAGGAAGAGTCACAAATCATCAAGAAGTATAATCTTCGGAGGCACAGACATCAGCCATTCATTTCATTCCTGCAGAGGCTGAAGAAACAGTATAAGAATGGTGAATTGTGGACACACATTCTTCCAGCAGTAAAGGCTTTCCATGAGCATTCCTCAAGAGAAGAGGATGGAGATTCTTTTGATCTGACTTTGAACTATGAGGAGGCTGATGATGAGTTCATGATGGACATCCTTCTATCTCAGGCTTATGGACTACAGCACATGAATGAGATTGCCGATGTCATGTCCAAAAAAGACCGCAATATTGTTTCTCAAATCGAAAATGCCATAAAAAACTCTTCCATGTTTGTAAATAAGCCAGACTTCATTCCTTCACACGTCACCAGGTCCAGCTCAAGGGCTGGTCTCAAATCTTACAGCAAGAGGAAGATAGTGCAAGAGAAGACGACCTCACCTAAGGCCCACCTCGACCCAATGGTCTTTGGAAAAGACATTCCTCAGAATAAGAGTTCAAAGATCCACATAGTGACCCCACCTCCAGACGGCTTTTATTATGTGGCCACCTACCCTACAGAGCCATGCCCGACAGAATGCCCCATGTGCTACTACAGGATATTCCCTTCAATGTTTGCCCTGAACCTTGTCACAAATCTGGCCACGGCTCGGTGCTTCGGGTGCCCATTAACCATCTACATAGTCCAGGAGCCGGTCAACACCTCCCTACCCAAGATCGTCTTCGAGAGCAACAAGAGAGAAGATACAGTAGTCACGGAGAAGCCCTACAAGCCCAAGCCTGCCAGGTTCAAGGTGACTGTCAACAAGTCCAAGAAGAAGAGGAGGAGGAGGCTGTCGATTCATCAGTTCATTAAAAAATGAGGTCTCTTAATGTCAATTTCTGTGTAACGAGCACTATGGCTGATATAGTCATTTTTATTGTGATATTTAGATGAAGCTGTAATCCAGCTTCCTTGGTGTTTCTCATTTTTGTGATTCTCAAAAGATTTTATATGTAGCAATAGCTAATAATAATTTGTTTTCTTATCAAAGATTGCAAATATGTGATCGACAAAGTGTTTTGTTTTTTTGTATTAAATATTTAATTTCTAAATTTTTGTGTCCTCATCCTCACGAACAAAAATATTGTGAAATAATTTGAAGTTTATTTCTTCTGCATTGTTAATGTCAGTATTACATTTGGAGAAACTTACTACAGTGGCGAAGTGCTTGAATAAAGGTGAATGAAAGTTCTAATTTTTGTTGTAAGTGTATTGGAAAACTAAATTTCGGATGTAACCTACATCCTTTCTCAATGTACTGTATAAAATGTCCTCAATATTGTATACAGGTACATTGAGAATACTGTCTTAATATTCTCAAGATGCTGTATACAATGTCCTTCAAGTTCAAGTATGTTTATTGAGACAAGAAAAACGATACATCTTAAAGGAATAGAGTATCTTAGGCTACATCTCAAAGGGATAGAGTATCTTAGGCTACATCTCAAAGGGATAGAGTATCTTAGGCTATTAAGACATTTAGAGACTCATTTTCAACTGATGAATCCCATTATAGTTTTTTTTAAATATAATCTGTTAATATTTATCAAAGCGTTAATATTCATTATTATAAAATGTATTTAATATGTATACTGAAGGCATAAGTGGTAGATAAAACATATCTAGATTTTCAGGAAATATTTGAGCAAAGAATTTCACATAAAAGACTTCTTTCAGAAAACTAAAAGTGGTTGTTCACTTAAGGTGGTTAGAGAACTGGTTATCTGAATCTAACCTTCATGTATACTTGAATCTAACCTTCATGTATACTTGAATCTAACCTTCATGTATACTTGAATCTAACCTTCATGTACTCTTGAATTTAACCTTCATGTATACTTGAATTTAACCTTCATGTATACTTGACTGTAAACTTTGTGCTTTGGAAATTGGTTAGAATGGCTCTAAGGTGCACAGTAAGTAGAGTGTCCTAGGGGTAAGTAAATTAGATAACTTCTAACTGTAATTACATTTAATTTAGATGTGGGGATAAGAAAATTGAGAGAGGTAAAACGGCAGAAGCGATCCAATTTGCTCCTCTAGAGCAGCCGTGATTACATTTACTCCTTTAAAAATATATTACCCATCTCCCTTTCAGGAAAAAAAACTCAATTCACTGGTTGTCTCCTTTCAGGGAAAAAAGAACTCAATTCACTGGTTGTCTCCTTTCAGGGAAAAAAGAACTCAATTCACTGGTTGTCTCCTTTCAGGGAAAAAAGAACTCAATTCACTGGCTGTCTCTTCTTTTTTCCATCTATCTCTATTCTTCCCCTCACCGCTCAAAAAAATGTATACAATGTAGTTTGTAGTCAGGGCAAATTTCACAAAATATAACCATGCTGTTACATCAGCAACACCTGTGAGCAGCAGATGTTTGGCGGTGAAAAGGGGGGGTGGTGGTGAAAGGGATGACAGACTAGAACATGTGTGAGTTCCTCTCCCTCCCCCTTCTCTACCCCTCTCCACTGCAGTTGTTGGAACACCTGGCAATGCTAACTAAGTTTTCAAATGTAGCCAATACAGTGATGAATACACACCAATACATAACACACACACACACACACATATATATATATATATATATATATATATATATATATATATATATATATATATATATATATATATATATATATATATATATGATGCAGGAACACATATTCGGATGCAACTAACACAAACGTTCAGATGCAAGGACACAGACACTCCACATGAAATGACAACGATGTTTTAGATGCAGCAACGCACATGGCCGAAAAAAAGGTGACATGCATTCAGATCCTGTCATGTGCAGACGATGTGACACATGTCCTGTCATGTGACACAGGCTATCAGGCACAGGTGCATAATTGGGTGACAAATTCAGATAAAACAGCACAGACTATCAGACACAGGTGCATAATTGGGTGACAAATTCAGATAAAACAGCACAGACTATCAGACACAGGTGCATAATTGGGTGACAAATTCAGATAAAACAGCACAGACTATCAGACACAGGTGCATAATTGGGTGACAAATTCAGATAAAACAGCACAGACTATCAGACACAGGTGCATAATTGGGTGACAAATTCAGATAAAACAGCACAGACTATCAGACACAGGTGCATAATTGGGTGACAAATTCAGATAAAACAGCACAGACTATCAGACACAGGTGCATAATTGGGTGACAAATTCAGATAAAACAGCACAGACTATCAGACAGGTGCATAATGAGGTGGACATCGCGTCAATTTTACGAGCTGTTATCATTTTTAATATATAAATTTATGGCCTTATGAGATTTATACGTCAAAATACTATTCAAGAGGGGTTGCTTGATGTCAGTTCACGTACTCGTGAACCACAATACAGGATATTGGATCTCATTTGCATTACAATGACGATGATTGCATTTGAAGAGTTCGTTCATATTGATATAGTGGTGAGAATAGGATGAGGTGAAAACTGATCACGTTACCCCGTATAGAAATATAATGGCGAAGCCTATGATAGTGTCAGCAAGACAAAAGAATATTGGAGGTCCATAAGTGCAGCATTACTTCAGTATATATGATAAGCTGGGGGGGGGGATATATCAAGTGAATCTTGGGGAAGCCTCTATATCAGTATTCACAACATTCACCGTACATGATCTTGTTGTAATTTGCGATGGCACGACGCCTCAACTTCTCGTCCCACATGTTATAGCGTATTACGCTGCTCTTCCCAGACATACCTACTGGACTTCGAAAAATTTTCCCAATGATAAATTACATTATTGTGAGAATGGGTGGATGGCATATACTAAAAATGATTCATGTAGTCGTCAGACGCCGCCTAAAGTCTGTGTAAGTTCGTTAAAGTTTCTGGTAGTGGTATTTCTAGCTCTAGGTCACTAATTCTGTCTCGCCTCAGACTTTCAAGATTTTCTCATAGATTGTTGTAAGTTCATTGTTGTTTCCTATTGTCGGGGGAGTTGTTGTTGTTGTTAAAGATTCGCTACCTGGAACAAAAAGTTCCAAGTAACACGGGCTATGGTGAGCCCGTAGATAGTTTTGTCGGGGGAGACAGTAGCTAGAGCAGCACAGACTATAGGCCGGGTTGCTATAATATATATGTTTGAAAACACATGTGAATAGTCACTGTCAAATAGTAAATTACGAGAAAAAATGGGTGTGAACCATGGTTCCTAAAATACGACGCAACATCAATACTCGTTTGAATAATTAATGCTCATGGTGGCAACTGTGTCTGGAAGTGTTGCCACTTCCAGACACAGTCCCTTGACGGGGACAGGGAGCCGGCGGCTTATGAAGGGTAACCCCCCCCCCCCCGGACTTAATTGCTCCTGAGGAATTTTTCCGACATGATTTAGAGTCGAAGTAATGGCATTTACGGCTTCGGCGGGTAGGCGGTTCCCTGCCCACCGAAGCCGTAAATGCCAAAACTCTGTTAAATTTTAAAGTCCTACTGGAAAAGATCATTAAGGCAAATGGGAGGGAAGACCTTAGACAAGCCACCGGCTTCCTATCCACGTCGAGGTCACTAGTAGGAGTGGCCCTCAGGTAAAACCAGCAGGTATACTCTAGTCCTAACTACTGAACATAGTCTAGGACTAACGCAAACTCTGTATATTATACACCGAGACGTGGGGAATACCTCTGTGTATATATAGCCCTAGTATGGAAGATTGACTGTTCATCTTGACCCCGATTACAATTACAATATGAACACTTACAAGAGTGTATTATTAAACTAAGGCGGAAGGGAGAGATATAATTATCAAGAGAAAGCGCCAAGCCATTACGACTATACAGTATAACACTAGGAAGGGATCAGGATAAGGATTTGGGATGGGACGGGGGAAAGGAATGGTGCCCAACCACTTGGACGGTCAGGGATTGAACGCTGACCTGCATGAAGCGAGACCCTCGCTCTACCGTCCAAGCGTCCATTTTTATATTCAGTAAGTTGTGTTCTAAGATAATGGCGGCAAAGCGTTTATCTAAATAACGAGAGTTATGTAGCATTGAGTCCTGTAGCGCAGTTGGCTACGTTCTCCACTAACACTCTGGGATCCCGGGAGGGACAGAAATGGTTGGACACGTTTCCCTTCATCTAATGCATCTGTTCACCAAGAAGTAAATACATACCTAGTAGATGGGCAATGGTTGTGCGTGATGCACATACATACACAGGCTTCCTGTCCACGAAAACGTTTTAAGTGAATTGATGTCATTCAGTAATGACTAAAATTGAACTCCATAAGCACAAGAGCACGATATAGCTGAAGAATAAATAGATATTAAATAAATAGACAAAATAGACATTATTTTGCTACTTACACTTACAAGAAAATGTCCCAGTATCCTATTTCCCTTATAACTAATAATTGTGTATCATTTTTATGTATATTAAATAATGACTAAACCTACGTAATCGGAATTCTATGAAGGTAATCAAATATTATTTTTATTTAAATTATATTAGATTTGCAGGCGATGAGTCACAATAACGTGGCTAAAGTATGTTGACCAGACCACACACTAGAAGGTGAAGGGACGACGACGACGTTTCGGTCCGTCCTGGACCATTCTCAAGTCGATGAATGAATCGACTTGAGAATGGTCCAGGACGGACCGAAACGTCGTCGTCCCTTTACCTTCTAGTGTGTGGTCTGGTCAATATATTAGATTTAAAAACCGCAGGTTTGACAACACGACTGCTCATTAGATGGATTTTACTGCTGCTTTACTATGTGGTTTAATATGAATTTTACAATGGGTTTGTTATAGGTTTACAATTGGGCTTCGCAAATTATACACGTTCCAAAAAGTTCACTATGTTTCATTAAACATAGTCATAATTAATAATGAAAATGTTTTAATATTGGTCGTAACAGAGAAAAAAATGACTGAAACTATATTGTTACCCCCACATATTACACACAAAATTA